GAGAGGAGAGCAACGCCTTGGTTTTGCCGAGAGCGACTGGGTCGTCAGGATCGGGAGATGGTCTTGGGTCGCTCGCCTCGGGGTTGTGCTTAAATGGACACAGAGGTCCCACAGGCGGTTCCCACTTGGGGGGGGGGAAGCTGAGGCTCCCCATATCGTTTCCCTTACGTTTTGTGAGCCTGTCTAAAGACTTAAAAATCATTAAGTCGTGGCAAAAGCCTCCTGTTGAATGCCTCATGCGCGTTCTCTATTGTCTATAGATGAGTGGTTGGTGCAGTCGTTGCGAAGGTCTTAAAACCTCACGAGGCATTATATCTCCTGTTTAGATAACAAATGGTACACGGCATTTTATTAGACATTTGTCCTGCGTGTTGGATCATTCTTTCTAAATACAGTATCTTAATGTGGTTGCTTTGAAAATGCTTTGTGTGTGCCCATTGTGTTCTTGAGTATTTGCGTGTAAACATTGTCACGGGAGGGCAGTGGTCCTTGAGGTGCTTGTTGGATGCAGCACCCTACTCTTGGTAACCAAGGATGAGAGATGATGGAAGTTGGATGGCCAGCTAGCCATGGTCAGACGTGTATGTATTTAGGTTTGCCTGTGTCCATGAATTTTGTTTACCATTATAGATTATAGTGTTTATTAGTCTCCATTATAAATGGAAAAACAAATTACTGGATTATTGGCTAGTGTGATTACTTCAGAGGTGAGGTATGAAGTCTGCAGTTCAGATTTCATGTGGCAGACTTGGGTGTGCCAGAATTCTATCTGCAGGATTCCAGGTTTCCATTTGTTGTGGCAAGTGTGATGCCACCGTCTAATAAGCTTGAGCTGCACTTGTTTTCATCTTGGTCTTGTAATAGTGTGGTGATCAGTTAGCAGTTATACATTGGATCTCATCCCCTGTCTAGCTTCAGCATTGAAAGAAAGCTGAGATTTGTTCTGCTATTTTATTGCTGAGATGCCCATCAGCAGAGCTGCCCTGTTAGAGGCAAAGAAGCTCAGTTTTTGGGTTATCCATGAAAACAAGAAAAATTCTGAGACTGTGCCTATTCACAGTTTGGGGGTAATACTGGTTTTCTTTTCAAGATTATTGTAATGATTCCCACAGCATAAAATGCTTTGAATGTTTTGTTTTGAGATGCAGGTATGGCTGAACTATACAAACTACTCACACTTTCTACCTAGCCTGGGTCTTGCATACCCTCTTATCTTGTAGTTATTATGTGTTTTACGTAGTAGAAGAAAAGAATGGCCATGTTTGTCCATTACATTAAGCTGTGGTTTATGTTAGCCGTGGTTTGTTTTTATTGGTCTGCATGTGACTGAACAAAGCAGTTTGTTCTTCCCACTTCTTTTATGTTTTTCTCCAATTCCTTTTACCAGCTCCTGTTTCAAGATTGAACAGTTAGAGAATCTAGCCAGGTTCACAAATCATTGTTCTGGGTTTAGGCATGACAAACCATTATTTAAACAAGCCAGAGTTCATAACCAGCCAAAACCAAAACCATATGGCTTATAATTAAGGGTTATGATGGGTTACAACACTACCACAAGCCAAATTCTGATTAGCCACAAACTGATGGAGCATTAAATATAAACCCAGTGAATGAGTACAGTACTTTGCCCACCACTGTTTCAGTAAAAGTCAGGACCACTGATGAATCTAGTGGTATATAGTGCCATTTTTGTTCAGTGATGTCTGAGTTCAGCTAATTGAAGCTCAAGCTGAGCTGTAATGAATTGGGATTTGGAGGCTTGAGGGAAAGGCTAGGCAAGATTGATGGAAGGACAGACTTTTCCAGTATGTACATTTCTCAATTATCAACTAAAAAATGGAAAGGGAGGATTGATTGATTGATTGATTTAATACCCCGCCCATCTAACAATAGATAAAATAAAAACAGTATAATAAAATAAAAAACAGCAGTAATAATATAGTTCAAGATGGGAAAAATAATGAGATGATAACTCCTATAAAAGGACCTATTGTTCCTTTTATACTAATAAATGAAATGCTTTGTAAGGTAGGGTTTGTTTGTTTTTAATATTTGTGTGGTGTGCTGTTAATTCTTACAAAATGGTTTCTAAGTGCTATTGAAACTGTATGAAGTGGACTCCAGTATTGGGTAATTGTGGTCACTGTACTGCAGAGACATTCAGTTTAATATGTATAATTTAAATTATGTTATTTTAGTTTGAGATAGACATTTGTTTCTTTTTGAGAGGTGGAAACGATTTGAAGGAAGGATGATTATGTATGCTGTATAGTCCTACATGGAGTTGTTCATTTCATCTTATAAAATAGGTGATTTAAAAATGTTTGACAATTATTTGAGCATGTTTCCTGAAAATGCTGATTGTGAAAACAATGTCTCAAATCCAAATAATGAATTCCTGCATTTGTTTGCAACTTATTTTCTGTTTTAAATTCAAACTCCTTGTCCCCTTAATTTTTCCACTGGCAGACAACCAGGGTGGATTTGATTTAAATCTGGTTGATTTAAATCACAATTTAAAACATGATTTAAATCACTAAGCAGTATGTAAAGACTCATTCTTGCTGGTAGCTATGAAAGAGTACATGTTTGTACATAGATTTGCAGAACAACAATGTGATTAAGGTCTTTTGCTGAACTTTGTTCATTTATACCATTTTTACTGTGAAAAAGTACATGTTATCTTAGCTTGGGTAACTTGGATTTAATTGAATTAATTTACAAAAAATGTGAATATTACATGACTATACAGCTTTACGCTACATACCGGTAACTGAGTTCTATTTCATGCTGAACTATAATGTATCTTAAACAAAACTATATTTAGATAGATTTTTCCTCCAAAAACATTTCATTAAAATAAATTTGACTTAAATAAAAAATCCAATTTAAATAAAAACATTTTTAATTTTAAAAAATCATCAATTTTAATCCACCCAACAGACATTTGACATACAGTGGGGTCTCGACTTACGAACTTAATCTGTATTGGAAGGCAGTTCTCAGGTCGAAAAGTTCTTAAGTCGAATCTGCATTTCCCATAGGAATGCATTGAAAACCATTTAATCCGTATCTGCTCTTTTCATCCATAGAAACTAATGGGAAGCTGCTATTCCGCCTTCTACCACTAGAGGGGGATATTTTTTCTTTTTTCCTTTTAACCTAAGATGACTTAGCTTTAAAAAGGGGGGGGAAAGAGTTCGTAACTCGAATCTAAGTTCGTAAGTCGAGTCCATATATTCCTATGAGAGCGGTTCGTAAGTTGAAACGTTGGTATGTCGAGCCATTCGTAAGTCGAGACCCCACTGTATGCTGGTATATCAACCTGTCAGCCAATAGAGAACTCTAGAAGAAATAGGGCTGCCCATAGTAAGGCTAGTCCAAGACATTTAAGCTGCATGGATCAGTTTAACCTAAACCACCATCCCCATCTCAACATGCTATGGAATCAGGCCCTTAACCTGTGCTGCAGTGGGCAGTTCCCCCCTTTTAAAAGTGCTGAACCTTTGTGTGGTAAAACATATTTCTATGCATGTAAACATATGAAAGCCTGCAAGATGCCGTTTGCCTGTAATTGTCAGAGGTACATTGCTTTCACTATCACCCATGTCTTATTAATAATTCTTACTTAGTAATTAAATAATAAGTAAAGAGCTATTAGTCTTTTCCATGTGAGGGGGTTTGTGAGTGTCCCCAAGCAATGCCTAGAAGCAGACTGGGCCAATTATTATTAGTCATCAGTGTCAGTCTTCACTGTCGTGCACTGAGTTGCCTGGTTTGCAACAGTGAATGCCTATAATTGCTTTTTAACTTGCAGTAATTTGCCAGTAAAATTAATGCCAGTAGAGTTTCACCAGTATAAATACATAATAGGCCATTACTTCAATTTCTGTCCTAATTTCTGTTTATTTCTGGGGTGAAATGGTACAGGAGCTTTTGCCTGTGGCTTCAAAAACCTGGAAATTTTCAGTGTGAAAAATATGTACCTCTTACCAGAAGTTAGTTTATTAAGCCAGTAGCAGATCCAAGATTTAGTTGCATATCAGAGGCATATCAGAAGGAGTTTGTAAGTTCAAATGTTGATTTTTTTGTAGCTATTTTCTTTTTATTAGTTATTATATCAAGCTACCTGTTTGTTTCAGGTTTTGGTCGGAGGGATGTAGTGGAGTATTTGCTTCAGAGTGGTGCTAATGTTCATGCACGAGATGATGGAGGCCTCATCCCACTTCATAATGCTTGCTCTTTTGGTCATGCTGAAGTAGTGAATCTTCTCCTGCGCCATGGTGCAGATCCTAATGCACGGGACAATTGGAGCTACACTCCTCTTCATGAAGCCGCCATTAAGGGAAAAATTGATGTTTGCATAGGTAAATACTGACAAGCCTTTTATCAGGATTTATTATATAAGTTGATCTACAAATCTGTCTTTTAATTAAAGATCATACAAGGTTTTCTTCTGGGCACAAGAAGCGTATGTCACCTTTATAAAAATTTCCTAAACTGCAGTCAAGAATTGATAAGTCTTCAATTAGTCAAAGTGTTCTTTGTCATATATATTGTGAACTAATCCAGGTTTTTTTGTTTCCAGTCATGGGAAGCTGACAAGGTAATTACAAATATGAAAAGTGTCCAGATTTTCCTAGGACATGGTCCACATGTGTGTGTCTAAAACATCATTTGTAAAGATTAAAGATATTTGCCCATCAAGTCAGTGGAACTTATGGGGGTGTTCACTGACCAAATCCTAAGTGATTCAATGACCCTACTTACTATGCTAAGTGACAGGATTTCAACCATTATTTAGAATAACGTCCCCATCCAGTTTTATCTTTCTGGCCCTGGTCTCCAGTGAGGAAGCATTAAGAGCTTGCAGAAATTACTTGGAAGATCTCTGGTTCATAGAGATGAACCCAGAGGAAGATGAGACATTTTTTTCCTTTGATGTTCTGTTATACATGCACCAAATACAGTAAGTGGGAGGAACAGAATGCATGTGGGACTGTAGAGTGTACTCATCTTTGAAAGATAACTTGAAAATTGTGGGAAAAGATGTATGTTCTCAATGTGATTTCTGTCTCTGTTTTGTTCCAGTAGTCAGTGCTACAATTATAATCCCCTGTAGTTCTTTTCCAGTCCTATTCTGTAGAGAACTGCTTTACAAAACATGCGCATATTTCTCATGCAATATTTAATGTTTTGCATCAAATTCTTAGGATGGATTAAAGTTAATATAATATTAAATTGTTATATTGTCTGATTGGTGTGAGGAGTCATTCAGATGAATGAGAAATTGTACCATGCCTTGTTGGACTATGTTCTCTTCCTAGTCCTCAAAGTAGAATTCTGTTGAAAAATTTTAAGTATCATTGTTCTTTCTCATTGCAGTACTGTTACAGCATGGTGCTGATCCAACTATCCGCAATACTGATGGGAGAACAGCATTAGACTTAGCAGATCCTTCTGCGAAAGCAGTACTTACAGGTAGTTGGACCGTCTTGTGATTCATAAGATTTAAATTTGCTCTGGATAACAACTGCTGCTGTTGTTTTCCTTGGGCTCTGAAAAGACTGAGATAGCCATCATGTTATATAAGTATGGGAAGTTGGAGAAACTTTCTTTCATAGGACATTGGCACTCAAGGTAATAAGAAGCTACATGTTTCTTTTAATGTAACTTTGGAAGCATTTAATTTAAAGTAACTAAAAGCTTTGTATTCCTCTTCTTTTAGGTTTTCAGCTCCTTAACGCCCCCTTTTGCCTGGGACAAGCCTTTGGGAGCCTAGGGATAGGAGAGAGCCTTTAATAATAATAAAAAATGCTGCTAGATTACTGGTAGTAATCCCGATCCTGCCAGCAGTAATCTGGCAGCAAATGTTTACTATTAAAGACTCCCTCCCCCCCCCAAAAAAAAGCAAAAGGGAACCCTAGGGAGCCTCAAAACCTAAAAGGAGGGTGATAAGAAACTTTTAATTACTTTAAATTAAACGTCTCCAGTGCCCAATTGGGGTTTATTTAGTACAGAGTTAAGGAATAGGATTTTGCCCACTGTATAGTACAAAGAAGTGAATTCCAACTCATAGCAACCCTTCTCAAAGTTTTCAGGGAATACAGAACTCAGAAAGTAGTTTACCAGTCCCTTCTTCTGGGATTGCTCTGGGACTGTGCACCTTGCCGAAAGCCACACATACTGGCTTTTATCCTGGGAAATGCAGTGGAGAATCCAACTCTTGATTTTGGCTCCACAGCCAGGTACTCGAACATACAGCCAGTAAGCTGTCTAGGGGAGCCCATTTTGAAACAAACACTCTTTGTAATAATGTAAAAGGCCAAGACAGCATGATGTCTGGAAGAATAATGATATGAGGAAGCTTGCTATGGAAAAAAATGAACACTTTAGAGGTGGATCATCAAGCATTTAAAGAAATAACTTACTCATTTGTTGTCATTCAAAAAAGAAAGAAAGAAAGAAAAAGGAAAGCAGTAGAAAGAGCTTGTTTATCCTGTCATTATGTAGCAATAGGTAATATTTGGAAAATAGGTGTTTGGGCAAAGTCAGTATTTACCATATTTTTCGCACCATAAGACACACCTTTCCCCCACAAAACAGGGGGGTGGAAAGTCTGTGCGTCTTATGGAGCGAAGAAGATTATATTTTCCTGTTTTCTTCTCTTAAAAAATTGGTGCGTCTTATGGAAAGGTGCGTCTTATGGAACGAAAAATACGGTAATTCCTTTAATACCAACATAATAGAGTTCATATACATGGACATAAAATGTACTTGTGTGTAATTTACAAGTTTTCTAGTTTTCTCTGAATACTTAGCAGCTTCTAACTTCATTAAAAAGAATTTGTACAGTGGTGCCTTGCTAGACAGTTACCCCGCATGACAATTTTTTAGCTAGACATTGACTTTTTGCGATTGCTATAGCGATTCGCAAAACAGTGATTCCTGTGGGGGAATTTCACTGGACAATGTTTGGTCCCTGCTTCGCAAACCGATATTCACCAGACGACGATTTTGACAGCTTCCTCCGCGCTCACAAAACAGGTGTTTTCGGGACCTAAGCTTCGCAAGACAGCGATTTAAACAGCTGATCGGCAGTTCGCAAAGTGGCTTTCCTATGGCCGATCTTCGCTAGGCAACGACGATTCTTCCCCATTGGAACGCATTAAACAGGTTTCAATGCATTCCAATGGGGAAATGCTTTTCGTTAGACAATGATTTCGCTTAACATCGATTTCAGTGGAACGCATTATCATCGTCTAGCCAGGCACCACTGTATATGATTATTTTCAGATGTAAGACTTTGTCACTCTAGAGATTCTGAAAGATTTTTGCACCTGGATTTATGTTGAAGTGTAAAATCCTAATCTTTTATTTATTAATTTTCAGGTGAATACAAGAAAGATGAACTCTTGGAAAGTGCCAGGTAAGCAGGAATTAGAGAAGTAAGACTATCTCAGAACTTTCAGGCCTGGGGGAAAAAGAGACAAAATAAGCTCCAAGATCTTGAGGGATCATATGCATAAGAGTGATTATTTTGGCAAATGCAATGAAAGGCTAAAAAGCTGTTTCCATGACCCTAATGTCAGACTCAAATGATAAACTTTATATACATAAGAAGTGGTCGGACACTGAGATTTCAGAATCATCATACCTGAATCCATTTCCAGTAAGAGTTTATATTCTAGTTCTATGTATGTACAATGAAACGCGTTCAGGTGTTCTCCTTATGGAGAAGGTGGCAGCAGAGGCTATGTTGCTGACATCCACATTTTCTCAGTTTAGATGTATATGCCAATCTGTAAACACCTAGTGGCTAAATGAGACTAGTGCATACCTGGCTGGGGCCACAAGCACACTTCCACTTTCTGCTTTTCCTTGCATGGGGACAGTTGCATGAGATTATTGCATTTTTAATTATTTCTGAAGTGTTAGGTAATTGGAAGGCAGAAGCTCAAGCAGTGTAATTAGCCTTTTGTGGTAACCTGAATTCCCTGATATGAGGTTTGCGATTTCCAAGTATATTCCATTGCTACATATGAAGATAGAGGCTCTTTAAGATTGGAATCCTATTCTCAAAAACTAGTTTGGAGAGATCTTTTAAACAATCATTTTTTGGATTAGAAAAGGTACCTAAAGGTATGCAATTAAAAGAAGTTCAGTAACCACTATTAGGTAAACATTAGTCAATTTTGTAACTTTTAGAGCTTTTCTGCACCACTTCCAGCTCATTCATGCCCAGCCTGATGAAGACTCCAGGAGTCAATAAGTATCTTCTGTTTGTGAGATTTTAGTGATCTGTAAACATATCACCCCTCCCTTGTCTTTGAGTTGTGTGCATGGACCACACCGCTTTTTTCTTTTTTGTTAAATGTTTGCTAAAAGAACCTTTGTTCCTTCTTTAGAGTGCAGTCTCATGCTTGTCTATTTAGAAGCAGGCCCAACTGAGTTGAGTTCTATTCTTCTAAGTAATTGTATACAAAATTGCAGCTTAATTATCATATTAGAAAGTACTACTGTACTAGGTCAGTTGTTGCTTGATAATTAATTATGATTGCCCTAATAAAATCCACCCCAAAGTTTTAATTTTAGTACCAGCAGCGTAGGTGTCCGTAATAGCTTTGTAATGTTGCATAGACCATAAAGAAATGTGACTGCATAATGTTCATGAATGTAATTTTTTTTAGGAGTGGAAATGAGGAAAAATTAATGGCTCTTCTCACACCATTAAATGTCAATTGTCATGCAAGTGATGGCAGAAAGGTATTTTTATTTAAACATAAACATTTTTAAATGTTCAGATGAAAAGCATTATATACTTTTAAATGTTCAGATGAAAGGCATTACATTAAATCATTTTTACTATTGTGTTTTGGTTTGGTTTAAAGTTGTTTATGGTTGTTGCTCAAATTATATTTGTACTCAGAAATATTCACAATCTAATATTATGTGATAGAATTGTTTTGAAATCCAGTTAGCAATTATGTCACTAAGGAATCTTATATAGAAGATATGCACTGTTTAAATTTGCCAGTTACTTATTCATTATGTGAAAAAACAGGTGTGTGAGATGCTATTCATATGGAGGAGGAGCTAAGCATTGTTTGCATCATTATGTTGTAAACTGCCCAGAGAGCGCTTTAGTCCTGTGAGGCAGTACAGTGGTGCCTTGCATAACGTTTGCTTCGTTTAACGTTTTTTTCGCTTAACGTTTATTTTTTCAGAGTCAGATTGTGCTTCGTATAACGTTTTTCCCTATGGGCGATTTTCACATAGCGATTTTGGGACCATGCTTCGCTTAACGTTTTTGGTTTTAGGTCCCCTGCTTCACTTAACGATGTTCATTTTTTCAATTACAAAAGTGTCTTAACATGTTGAAAAACGGTTTTAAATGCTTGGAATTGTTAGTGCACCTTCTAAAATGTGTGCATACTTAATTTGGCGTTGATCTGACTTTTCGTTAATTTTTTGTGAATTTTCTTCTCCCCCATAGGAAACAATGGAGCTGTCAGATTTTGACAGCTGTCAAAAGTTGGGGGGCAAAAATTCACCATAAATTAACGAAAAGTCAGTTCAAAGCCAAATTAACTTTTGCATCCGTTTTAGAGGGTGCAGAAGCTAATCCAAGCATTTAAAACCATTTTGACCCTTTTATGACACACTTAAATTTGCAAAAATTGACTTCGCAAAGCCATTGAAATGTATTGAGTCGGCTTCAATACATTCCAATGGAGGAAACATTGTATCATTTAACAATGTTTCCTATGGGTTTTTTCGCTTAAGGACGCCAATCCGTGCCTATTGGAATGGATTAGCCGGTTTCCAATGCATTCCTATGGGAAATGGTGTTTCGCATAAAGTTTTTTTCGCATAAGGTTTTTTTTGGGGGGAACCAATTAAAAAAGTTATGCGAGGCACCACTGTGTATACATTGAAACAACAACAACATGACCTTTGTGTCTGAAAGTGACACAAATTTTAAAAAGCCTCTTATAATTACATACTCCCTTTTAGATTTGTATATGTAACTATTGTTCTTCAGAACAGAGTGTAGTAATTTTTGCCCTTAGTTTGTGTAGAAGCATGAGATACAATCCTTTCCCTGATTTGCAGCGATCAAATTAGTCTTGCAGTTGATGGAAAAAACTGTTAATACTGAGTTGTATCTGGATTTCACTTGTTGCAAACTGAGGGATCCTTCTGTCTGGGGAAGTATTTGCTGTACCCTTTGTGACTACTTGCACCCTCTGTAAATTCTTATGGCAGTCATACATACTTGTTGAAATATTAAAAAACATGAGAAAAGAAATACAAAACCCAATAGGTAGCATCATACCAGTCATAAACTTTCAAGGAAAACCCTTAGTCTCATATCTGTTTTGCTATAGATAACACAGAATGAACATATTTGTTAAATGTTCTGTTCGTTTATTTTATTTCTAGTCAACTCCTCTACACCTAGCTGCTGGTTATAACCGTGTTAAGATTGTGCAGCTTCTTTTACAGCATGGAGCAGACGTGCATGCGAAGGATAAGGGGTGAGTAATTGTTAGGTGGTAATGTAATCTGGAAATTTGATCAAAATACATGTTTTGTGTCAGAAATGAGAATGTTTCAATTTGTAATACTTGATTCCAAGAACAGGCCATTTTTATTGTATCTTTAGAAACCAAATTCTTAATTATGTGATTAAATGACTATTTTGGATCAACCATAAAGGCAGGTTAGGACATTAACTTGCACTAGTAACACTTGGATTCTTCCAGCATATTGTGCTTTGTTTGATTAGAATGTTGTAGAAATCGATAATGTTTGGGACAGGGAGGTCACTCAAGATTTCCTGAGTTAATTCTACAGCATATCATCTTAAATCATAGGTTGATTAAAAACAAGTACCCAATTTTTACTATGTTCCAAGCTGTCTCTAGTGTCAGCTTTTTCATTTGTAATCAGATTAACTTGATTAAAATTCCCAAGATAAAAAACAAGCAGTCTAATTATTCATTTACTCTGGTAGGACCTCATTACTGTAATAGATCTTTCCACAGCAGTGTGTTGATAAATTAAAAACACACAATGTGTGGTTTTCTATTTTGTAAGATAAGTAGTTTTCTGTTGTGATACTGAGGATGAATAATTATTGTTTAGTGTGAAGAGTTGAATCCTTTTTCACAGTTGTTATGTACTTAATTGCTGGATTTATTTGTTCTTTAGAGATCTTGTACCTCTTCATAATGCTTGTTCCTATGGTCACTATGAAGTAACAGAGCTTCTAGTAAAGGTTAGTGTTGTTGGGTTTTTTTAATTATGTGGCAATTTTAAGGGGAAGGCATTGTTGTGTTTTCTACTTAAAAATGAAAAACGGGTAATTCAAAATTGATGTTAGACTTTTGACTTTGAAAACAGTCAGAAATGTAGGTAAACTGCTCACTACGGAGTCTGTTTTAGATTAATGTGACCAAAATTTAAGGAAAACAATTTGTTGAGCAAAATGTTGAATTAACTAATTTTGTCCTTGTGAAACTGCAAAATGCATTCTTTGTGTCCTTCTGTCTTTGTTTCAAGCAATGTTTTTTGTAAAAGTATCTTTTAGAGGTTTTGTGAACAAATATCAATAGTTGGAATGTAGAGAGCTGTAACAGGGAGAAGCAGGATGTGGTTGCTTGCTACAGGATGAAGCCTGTAGACTTTGGGAGCTATGGTGTCATCACATTAGGACTGCAAGTTCCCTGCCAAACATGTTTTAGTTATGATCTTTAACGGTGACCTTGGGTGAAGAAAGGGAAGTTGCAGAAATGCACTTAGTTACCTTGAGTTCAGTTTCTGTGTTTGGTTAGACTAGCATAGATTGTTTTCTGATGCAGAATTAAATGGACAGTACCTTCCATGTGTTAAATCAGTTTTATTATAATCCAGGAAGAAATTTTGTATGTTTCTCTTTCGTCTCCTAGCATGGTGCATGTGTAAATGCAATGGATCTGTGGCAGTTCACTCCTCTGCATGAAGCTGCTTCAAAGAATAGAGTGGAAGTATGTTCTCTCTTGCTAAGCTATGGTGCTGATCCTACACTGTTGAACTGCCACAATAAAAGTACAATTGACTTGGCTCCAACACCTCAGTTAAAAGAGCGATTGGCATGTGAGTACAAAGGACATTCTATTTATATATTAAATTTCTATCCTTGCTTTCTACCCCAACATCCCATTACTTTGTTGCACAGGCAGAAGGCAAATGACATAAGTTTGACTTGCTTCTAGCAGGCATTTAACAAGTCACTGCTGGGAATCTTGGTGTGTTCAACCACTGGCTTGTCATGTGATTTGTGCAATATGCTTCCTAAAAATTGTATGTGTATGCTTGTTTTAACAGTAGTTTGAAAGAAACAAAAATGTCATAATGTTTGAGATTCATATTCCATTAAAATATGTGTTCTCTTCTAGATGAATTCAAAGGTCACTCATTGCTACAGGCTGCAAGGGAATCAGATGTTGCTCGTGTAAAAAAACACCTTTCTCTTGAGATTGTAAACTTCAGACATCCCCAGACTCATGAAACTGCTTTGGTAATTTATTGAGGATATTACAAATTCAGGTTTTTTCATTGCTAAATTAAGAAGTTGGAATAATGTTATTTTTTAGAAAATTGATCTTAGTAGGCAGATTGTTTTAACTTAAGCCATTCTGTTCTAGACATTGTATTCTTGTCAATTTATTTACACTTCCCTTAGAGAAATAAAAGTACAGTTGACAATACTACAGTGTGCTCTCAACCTGACACCAAACAATTTTTATTTTGTTGTAAAAGGGTCAGTTGAACCCCCAGAAGCCTGCAGGGAGCACAGTTGACCCACCTCACTGCTCTTGGTCACTTCCTGTGTTAAGGAATAAATGAGTGCTGCCCACCAAAGTCTGAGAATGACCCTCTGCTGTTTAGCAGTCACCTACCCTGCCATAAACCTTTTAAGTGTTTCATAGAAAGCTGTGTAAGAAGGGGATAAAAATATGTTGCTATATTGTTAAAATAGAGGACATACATCTAACAGTTAATTGAAGCATTAAATACTACAAAAAAGAGGCATGATTTGTTTCAGTGCATGAAAAGCTTCCTGAAAGAAAATACGTTTTGCACTTTGTATTTGAGAATAACAGAGAAGGAGAGAGGCTGACAGAATTTGAAAAATTCTGTGGAAAGTTAAGAGATTTACTCTTCCGAATATGAAATACCAGCTGTATCTACTTTTTTGTTGAATCTTTAAAAATTAATCCTATTTAAAATGCACATTGTTTTCAAGGAATAGTGTAGTGTTGCAGGAATTATTCTGCTACATTAAAGTGTTGGGGTTAAGTTCATGTACTATATCTATTACTACAGCAATAATGATTGACTACAATGAAATGGTTATATTGTTTCAATAGCATTGTGCTGCTGCATCTCCATATCCCAAAAGAAAGCAAGTTTGTGAGCTGCTTCTAAGAAAAGGAGCCAACATTAATGAAAAGACAAAAGAGTGAGTTAGCTTTCACTTCATTTCCTTTCTTGTCCCATCTATCTGTCTTCCTGGAAAGCCAGAGCAACACACATTGTTTTGCCATCCAGTTTTATCCTGAGTTATTTGATTAAGGCCACTCAAGGAGCCTTAGACAGGCATTTCAACCTGCATCTCCTTGACTCGTACTAATTGCCAATAATGCACAGGATCTAGTAGAGTTGTTCTGCTGATGGAATGACTTACATCAGCAAAACTGAGAGGGAAGTATGATTCTCCCTCACTTCACTTTCCAAAACCTGCTTCAGATTGCTGGGATACATTATAAAGAGTATGTTTGGGTTGGCGGGGGGGGGAATCTCATCAAGCTAGATAACATCTAACAAGACTAGATTTAGATGGGTCAGCTTAAGGAAATGAGATGAAAAAGAAATAACTTGGACCGCTTATCTTGTTCTTTCAAAGTTTCTTAACACCTCTCCATGTGGCATCAGAAAAAGCACACAATGATGTTATTGAAATAGTTGTGAAACATGAAGCAAAGGTATGGATTTTTTTTTCTATAAATGGGTGTAGTTGTCTATTTAGTGAAAAATTAAATACTTGTGAAAATAGAAAATGAATTAGGAATCCATGGTCAACAAAAATGACCAGTTAGAGCCATTTTTATTTCTCTTATTTCACTCTCAAGTGTGTCCTCTGAAGGTCAGTCCAGGTGGTAATAATGCGCAGAAGGGCTACAGAGAGCACCTTCCATGTGAAACTGACTAGTTAGGTAAAGTAATTGATTGGAGAATGGGCATGAACTGGCAGTTTGTGTGGTGTGGCTAACAGCCATACAGTTGATCCACAGTTCAGGGCCCTGCCCCCTCTGGTGAGAGCGTTGATCCACAGTTCAGGGCCCTGCCCCCTGTGGTGAGAGCCCACTCTGAGGCAGCACCCTGAGGAGGTGCAGCAAGGAAGCCAGGGCACTTGCTCCAGAGGAGGTGGGGCAAGGAAGCCAGGGCGCTTGCCTCTGAGTGGGTGCCCGCCATAGGGGACGGGCACCAAACCATGGATCAGCTGTGCAGCCGTCTGCAGAACAGACATGAACTGCCAAACCAGCAGTTAAATTGACCAAATAAAATGGCTTTAACAAAATATAAGAATGGTTTTCCTCATCTGCCTACCTTAAAAACAAAATGGATGTAGTTTTTGACAGAATTGGGGGCATAAGAAACAGGACATATCTGGCAGTAGAGACAGGTATTTGCCACTAACATTCCATTCTCTGCTATTTTGCAGTGCACTCCTGATTTACACATTGGAATCTTTAGAAAACCAGAATTGAGAAATGAATATTAGAGGGAAGCAGGGTTTGGAGTCTGTGGCAAGAGATGGAGAACGTATTTGTATTGTTAACCTTTTTTTTCATTCTTCATTTGACAGAATATGGTGTCATCTGTGATCACACCCACTCCATCTCTTAATAAGGGCAGGTTCTGTAAATCTCACAATCAGATTCTTGTGTATAGCCACGAGAGAAGCTGTGTTCTAGAGAAACCCTCCTAGATTTTCCACTACTGTGTCTGTACCCAGTGACCTTCCAATGCAGGAAATATCTCAGTCTTGCACCATTATTGTAAGAAAGGATGGTGTCAAGTGTTACTGAGGCTCCCCTGACAGCTTATTTTCTTCACTGAATTTGGCAATAAAACACTACATAGAGAGTCAAACTTTTTTTTAAAAGCCTGAATCAGTCTCACCCAACTTGGAGGTTTCATGGAAGATTCAAACAATTGTAGCACTCAGCTGCTGGTTCTGTCTTACTTCTTTTCCAGTGGTCTGTCCTTAAATTCAGAAAAAAAAGCTATTCAGACCTAAACAGCATTATGCTTCAGCTATTTACTCACCTCTGCAATAGCAGAGGTTTTGCAATAGCAGTCTCTGTTTACCTCCCCTTTACATGCTACTTTTTCATAATTTGGTCTCTGAGATTCATGGAGGAAACTTCATTTGAGAGACTGGAACTACCTTTTTTCCACACAGGCACAATTTATGCTCTTGTCTTGACTGTATTCTTATCTCTGATTCAGTGAGACATGAGCTGATAGAGACAGATCAATCACATCCAATCTCATCCTTGTCTTGGCCAGACTGTGCCCTTTGGATGTTCAGGTCACCATTTTCCTGGTCTATGCTCTTCCTAACCAGATAAAAAAATTTTTTTTAAAGAAGGAGGATCCCTGATCCTGTTCTGTCTGAAATTGATATCCCTGATGTTGATGTACATGTGCTGTGAGATTCTCTTAAGGCCAAATTAAGTGGTAAATGTATCAGAGCATTTAGTTTTCTTAAGAAATGTGTGCACTTGGCAAGAAACGAGTCCTGAATCAGATTAAGGGACTAAAACCCTGTTTCCTCGAAAATAAGACCTAACCTGAAAATAAACTCAAGTATGGTTTTTCAGGATGCTCATAATATAAGCACTACCCCAAAAATAAGCCCCAGTGAAGTGAAACCCCGCCCTCCACCATTGTGCAGCGTTGTGCAGCTACCAGAAGATAACATGACTGTATTTGAATAAATGTAGATTGTTGTATATGGAAAAAATAAAACATCCCATGAAAATAAGCCCCTTTTTGGAGCAAAAATTAATATAAGAACCTGTCTTATTTTTGGGGAAACACTGAAGATAAATACAAAAAGAAATATGTCAGAAGTGTCTATATAAATTGAATTTAAGTAGGAATAAATTTAAATTACTTGTGGTTGTTCTGGGTTTTTCGGGCTCTTTGGCCATGTTCTGAGAGTTGTTCTTCCTAATGTTTTACCAGTCTCTATGGCCGGCATCTTCAGAGGACAGCACTCTGTGCTCTGGTGTAGTTGTCTTGGGAGTTGAGTTTTACTCCACTCGCAAACAAACTACACCAGAGCACAGAGTGCTGTCCTCTGAAGATGCCGGCCATAGAGACTGGTAAAACATTAGGAAGAACAACTCTCAGAACATGGCCAAAGAGCCCGAAAAACCCACAACAACCATTAGATCCTGGCCATGCAAGCCTTTGTGGATACATTAAATTACTTAATTTGACTGAGATAGAAAAGAACATACAACTTACTAGCCAATGAATTAAATTCTAATTTAAGAAATCTTATCCTAGAACTACCGAACTGGAAGAGATCCTGTGGATCATTAAGTCCAGCCCCTATCAAGGAGGTACAGTGGGGAGTTCAAATCTTAACATAGAAATTCCAACTTCAAAATTTCTGTGAATTTAGTTAGACTCTTGGCTTTCAAAGGAAGGTCACAAACATATATCATATTTATCAAAACTCCCAAGAGGGAATTTTGAAAACTCAAATGGAATAAACAAATTCTGAACAAAGCTGTTCTAGTGTAGCTTTGCCCTGATAATAGCAATTCCCTATCTTGAAAAAAAAATTTAAAACTAAGAAGGCCCCTAGACAGTTGCAGTGGTTTATTTAAGAGATGTACAGATCAGCTGTCCCAATTCTTTTTTCTGTATATAACCCCGCATTAGATGAAAAGACTCTTCCAGCCCTCTGTCAACTTAATAACATTCAAGTGCCAAAAATAAAAAAGGATTCCATTAATATGCATTTTGGTATCTGAGTGGGTTACAACCTGTAAAATAGAAATATTAAAACTGATAGCAATACCCCCCCCCCAAAAAAAGCAGATGACATCAACTAATCTCGGAGGGGATGGAAGAAAAGAGGGAGGGAAAAAGAAGAGGGGAGAGAAAAAAAGTGGGGGAGCTATATTATGCTGCTTACCTGCTGAGACACTGACTTAGGCTCATATGTAGGTACCTCGTTACCAATTAGGATTGGAGATTGAGGCAAATTCCAACTTCAAAATTTCTGTGAATTTAGTTAGACTCTTGGCTTTCAAAGGAAGGTCACAAACATATATCATATTTATCAAAACTCCCAAGAGGGAATTTTGAAAACTCAAATGGAATAAACAAATTCTGAACAAAGCTGCTCTAGTGTAGCTTTGCCCTGATAATAGCAATTCCCTATCTTGAAAAAAAAAATTAAAACTAAGAAGGCTCCTAGACAGTTGCAGTGGTTTATTTAAGAGATGTACAGATCAGCTGTCCCAATTCTTTTTTCTGTATATAACCCCGCATTAGATGAAAAGACTCTTCCAGCCCTCTGTCAACTTAATAACATTTAAGTGCCAAAAATAAAAAAGGATTCCATTAATATGCATTTTGGTATCTGAGTGGGTTACAACCTGTAAAATAGAAATATTAAAACTGATAGTAATACCCCCCCCCCAAAAAAAGCAGATGGCATCAACTAATCTCAGAGGGGATGGAAGAAAAGAGGGAGGGGAAAAGAAGAGGGGAGAGAAAAAAGTGGGGGAGCTATATTATGCTGCTTACCTGCTGAGACACTGACTTAGGCTCATATGTAGGTACCTCGTTACCAATTAGGATTGGAGACTGAGGCAAACGTTTTTCCCTTTACAGTATATTTCTTTTGTTGTCCACAGTGAAAGACACTGTCAGTCCATTTTTGCAAAATATTAAATATGAAGTGATTGACAAAAAAATCAAATTCCTTCCTCATCCCTGTTAATTCCCTCCATGTGTTGCCCTTTTTTGTGTGTGGGAAGATTTAATCATTATAATTTTTTGGATTTTATAATTAGAAGAACCTGTATATGGGACTCACCTATAAGTCAAAGATAAAAATTCAAGCTGAGAATAGATATAAGAGGAACCTCATAGTTAGCATACCCTCCTGAACTAGCCTGTTTAAAAAATGGAAAAGATAATTGAACAGTTTATTTCATACATCAACTGTTCTGGCCATTCTGTCCTGCTTTATTGATCATAATAAGGATATTAATGAAAAAGCCTTGATTACTTATATGTGCCTTGCACCTAGACTACAAATAACAATCCACTGGATGACTAAATGTAGATAACTGAGGAGTTAGTATTTGGAATTTGGCTGTCATAGGAAACTTGTTCCAGAAAATGTCTACCTTTAAAAATGCAGAGACACACAGTATATTTTCGAGTAGGTGGTACAGTACTTATTTATTCATTGTGTTCATAGTTACATCATATCATACTCTCTTTATTCCTGTACCACATTTTGGCTGAAATTCTGTTTTACCTAACACAAGGCATATGTTTTATTCCTTTCCAGCAGGCAAGCAACAGTCGCTTTTACGATTCTCGGTATGCATATCCTGCGACTTGGTGTGCACTCAGGAATCCCAGAAGGGATTCTTTGCTTGCTGGCTACAAAGGAGTTGAAATGTATGCCTTTTGTCACACAGAACAACAGGATTCTAACCAATGTATATATGCCCAATGATAATGTTATCAATATACTCTCCATATTGGTCCTGTGCATCTTTTCCAGATAGTCCATGCAAATTTTAGTGACTTTTCAATAATATGTGTTGTAATAAATTATTTTTGATTTTGTTTTCATTTCTTGTAATACTTAAAATAACAAATTAAAATGTTTGATGGTTGTTGTGGGTTTTTTGGGCTCTTTGGCTGTGTTCTGAAAGTTGTTCTTCCTAATGTTTTGCCAGTCTCTATGGCCGGCATCTTCAGAGGACAGCACTCTGTGGACAGTAATACTCCACTCCCAAGCCAACTACACCAGAGCACAGAGTGCTGTCCTCTGAAGATGCCGGCCACAGAGACTGGCGAAACGTTAGGAAAAAAAACATTCAGAACACGGCCAAAGAGCCCGAAAAACTGACAACAACCATTAGATCCCGGCCATAAAAGCCTTCACGAATACATTAAAATGTTTGAGTTTTTTTAAGATGTGTAGGAGCTGAAAATTGTGGAAAGTAATACTGGGCATTTTAATTCCAATTACAAAATAGTTCTGTGTTTGCTTTTACCTTTCTTTATGGAATAACATTGTGAGGATTCTATTGTAATCTTCAGGTCAGTGCTTTGGATAACCTTAGTCAGACATCTCTGCACAGAGCAGCACATTGTGGCCATCTGCAGACTTGCCGGTTGTTGTTGAGCTCTGGCTGTGATCCATCAATTGTATCACTGCAGGGTTTCACTGCCTCTCAGATGGGAAATGAAAGTATCCAGCAATTATTACAAGGTAATACTTGAGTATTTTCTTTTCTTTCTAGTTTTCTACATTTTCTGTTGTCCACTTCAGCAGCTTAAAGAGTATCATTGTTGAAATTGAACAACTGTTCTTGTAAAATAAAATGACTGAAAACCTTGTTGTGAAATAGTACAGTGATGCCTCGACTTACGAATTTAATTGGTTCCGGAACTCTGGTCATAACTGGAAATGGTTGTATGTCGAAGCACCATTTCCCATGGGAATGCATTGAAATGCAATCAGTCCGTTCCGGCTGAAGAAAAAAATCACAGGAAGACCCATCGGAAACGCAATTCATTCCTTCCGGCCGAAGAGGGGGGAAGAAAAGCAAGCGAAGTGTGCAAGACCCATTGGAAAAGCAAAGAAAGCAAAGCAAAAAAAGCAAGCAGAGCGTGTAAGACCCATCGGAAATGCCTCTTCGCCTACCAACGGTTAGCAATTTGAATTTCCCGCTTTTTCCCCCTGCCTTTTTGTGTTCGCAACTGGAAGTTTCAGCCGCAAGTAGAAGCAAAACTTTGCAGCCGGAGTTGGTCGTAACTCAAAATGGTCATAAGTTGGGACGTTCGTAAATCGAGGCACCACTGTAATTCCTTGCAACTATAGAATTCTGTTGTTGAGGAAAGTTCTGAAGGAACTCCAAAACAGGAAAAAAATCATAGTGAATTAATGATATTTTTAGACTAAATGGAAATGTTTGGCCTTCCTTGATCCTTATGCACTGTTAATGGTAGGAGGTTTTTTTTCACTTTTACATGGTTTTGAAAGCAAGAACATTAGCCTGTTCCATTATTGTATTGATCCTTCCTACTAGTTCTGTAGCTTTTTGGTATTCTAAATGTGAGCCTAGACTGCTGGTAGAATTGGTACATTGAGTCAGCTTGTAGACACAGGTATTGCCTAGGGATGTTTTGTAGATTTGAGAACCTAAACTGGTATTTCTCTGTCCTATAGCTTACTCTTAATGCTGCAGTTTGCTATACAAACTTGTACAGAATTATACTGTACTTTTGTTTTTACAGAAGGTGTCCCTTTAGGCAATTCAGAAGCAGATCGACAGTTATTGGAAGCTGCAAAGGCAGGAGATATGGACATGGTAAAAGTAAGAGAGAATATGTTTCTGTATTTTTTCTTGCTTTGAAAAAAGATATCCACAGTATTCATTGTGTCTCTCTCTGTGCCTGCTCAGTTCTCACATGAACACATGATTCATCTAATTATTTTACCTGGTCAGCTAAAGAGGAGTTATCGTTTTTCTGCTCAGACGTAGTGTGCCTTTTTCCAGCTAAAGCAAGGCATCTCTGTTCTTATCTCTAATGGCTCATCTGAGATAAAAGCTGTTTCCTTGATGAACTAGTAGAAGAAGGTTGCCTTTCACTGCAAAGATACTGGAAGAAGGATTGTTGTACCAGCTGAGGAGGGAGCTGTGGACCAGAGGAAGAAGGATTGTTGTACCAGCTGAGGAGGAAGCTGTGGATCAGAGAATGTCTGGTCTAGCAATTCTCCTTCCCTGCTGTAGAGGGTTAATTTGGCTCCAAGCTGTCTATATCTTTAAATCCAGTTGTGCAGCTCCACATGTATGTGCAGTGGTGCCTCGCATAGCGATCGCTCCGTTTAACAAAGAAATAGCTTTGTGACGATTCGATCGCTCCATTTAACAAAGAAATCGCTTGGTGACGATTTTTTTGCGATCACAAAAGCGATCGCTTTGCGATGTTCCCTATGGGGAAAATTCTCTTTGTGATGATCGCAGGGAAACGATCATCGCAAACCCCCCATTTTCGCACAGCTGATCGGCGGTTCCAAAATGGCCGCCGGGTAAACAAAATGGCTGCCCATTGTGTTGCTTCGCTTTAAAGGCACCGAAAATGGCCGCCCCTATGGAGGATTTTCGCTTAAGGTTAGTTTTTAAGCCCATAGGAACGCATTAATGGCTTTTAATGCGTTTCTGTGGGCTTTTTAATATCACTTAGCGACGAAATCGCTTAGCGATTTTTGCTCCGCGATGAAATCGCTTAGGAGCGATTTTTGCTCCACTGATTAATATCGCTAAGCGAGGCGCCACTGTACATCACATATGATATTAGCAGCAAATCATTGCTGATCAAAGACTTCTTTCAGTGATTTTAGGGCGCACACGACTTCAGTGATTATGTATGAGTCACAGGCACCCCAAATTGCCTTCAATCTGTAATAATTTGTCATTTCTCAGTGGTGATTTTCCACTGCTGATGTCATTTCTTTTGAGTACGTGGAGCTGTGCAACAGAATTTCAGTCAGTATCTGCTACTTCTGTGAGGCAAACTTGCAACATTGATTTCTGATGCATAATGTTATTGGGAGGGCAACAAAGCTGCTGGGATACTGTGGATATCCTTCAGTATTTAGCTTGACTGTGGTATTTCAGCTTAACTTCTGCTCTTTCTCATTTGAAAGCATTAATTCCAATAATTCTAGTTTTGTGTGTGTTTTATGTATCTTTAAAAATGTGGTACCACTGAAATCTATTGCATTTGTTGTTATAGTGAAATAATTTTGAAACCATATCCCCAACTTGATCTCATAAAGAGATCTGTTATCTCCCAAATTAATTCTTCCCCCCCCCATCCCTAGTTTTTAGAGGAGGATTATGGATACTTGGACTTTTAAGAAGAGCATGACAGCTCAGGATAAGCCAGGAGAGAGAAAGAGAGAGATGCTAAAACCTCCCCCCCACAAAGTAAAATCTTCTCACTGAGGAAGTAACACATTGAAATTTCTTTAAGCGAGTTAAAGTGTTTATCAAGAAGCAATGCCTTGTCTCTTCTTCACACAAAATATAATAACTTGTACTACTTGTTTGTTGATCTTTGTGCTCCAAATATGTGTCTTAACTATTATGTTCCATAGAAGTTATGTACCGTTCAGAGTGTGAATTGTCGGGATATTGAAGGACGTCAATCCACACCACTTCACTTTGCTGCAGGATACAACAGAGTGTCTGTGGTTGAATACCTTCTGCAGCATGGTGCTGATGTTCATGCGAAAGACAAAGGGTAAATACTGTTCTGTAGGTTCTGCTTTTGTGCGTGTTTTGATACTGTCTATCAAGATTTTTTGATTCACTGTTGTTGATATGAGAAGTGAATATTGATATCTAAATTTTTCTACATTCTTAGATATTCCAGGTACAGTGGCGCCTCACGTAGCGAAGTTCATTCTAACAAATCAAAAAAGAGTCAGAACAAAGTCAAATTTGGTTAACAAAGGGTTTATCAAGTGCCCTTTATGATTTCAAGCATTTTACACAGTAAACTTTAACTTTATAAATAACAGAAAAATATTTAAAAAACAGCAAACATGAGGCTGTTTAAACCATCGTTAAACGAAACAGGGGACCCAAAATTTAATTGCTATGCAAAGCATGGTCCCAACCATCGCTAAGCGAAAACCGCCCATAGGGACCATCGCTAAACGAAGCGTAAAAACGCTCCAAAAAGTCATCACTAAGCGATTTTGTCGCTAAACAGAGTGCCCGTTAAGCAAGGCACCACTTTTTATAAAAGCATTTTACAAATAGTCATGGAGAAGAAACCAATAAAGCAAAATCACACATTGTGTTCAAGATAGTAAAGGAAGAAATCCTATAAGTTCATACAAAGGACAAATGATAAACCAGGTGAATCTGTGCGTACAGTGGGGTCTCTACTTAAGAACGTCTCTACTTAAGAACAATCCAACTTAAGAACAGCTCCATTTGCTAAATTTTGTTTCTACTTGAGAACAGAAATCCAAGATAAGAACAGGAAAAAAAACCTTTCCTGCTCTTTTTTTAAGGTCATTTTAGGTTTAAAAAAATTCTCCCCCTAGTGACAAATCAAAAAATAGTCAGAACAAAGTCAAATTTGGTTAACAAAGGGTTTATCAAGTGCCCTTTATGATTTCAAACATTTTACACAGTAAACTTTAACTTTATAAATAACAGAAAAACATTTAAAAAACAGCAAACATGAGGCTGTTTAAACCATCGTTAAGCAAAACAGGGGACCCAAAATTTAATTGCTATGCAAAGCATGGTCCCAACCATCGCTAAGCGAAAACCGCCCATAGGGACCATCGCTAAACAAAGCGTAAAAACGCTCCGAAAAGTCATCGCTAAGCGATTTCGTCGCTAAACGGAGTGCCCGTTAAGCAAGGCACCACTGTATATATTTGAGGAAGCATATATTTCGGTATCTAATCCTTACCTATAAATGTAAACTATTTGACACACTTCTGTTAACAACAAGCATTTTTGTGTAGGGGATTAGTTGTGCACACGGTGGTCTCTTTCATTGATAGAAGAACAAATTAATTGGATGCAGATATATTTTAATGCATAAGCTGGGTGCTGACAAAAAGTGGAATGGAGAGTTATCTTTCTTCCTGTGTCCCTCGGCCTTATCTCCATGCTTAATAACCCTTATAAGTGTTCTCACTGTGTACAGTACTTGGGCAATTGTAGTGACTTTTGACTGATGCCATTACTAGAAAGTGCACAATGTAACTTGTGATGGCTGATCACTATTGATTTTGTGAACGGTGTGTTGTGCATCTTAAAGTTTCAGTCCATTTCTATACTAACATATAGTTCTTCATGCACTTCATTTCTCCTTACATCTTCTGAAAGACATTTGTTTACTGATTTCTGGTCATCTTTTTTAAATTAAAAGAATTTTACAAACATGGAGGCCATAGTCTTGGTTAGTTAAGCCATTGTAAGTATGCTGGTGCAAATTGTGGTGGCATATTGCCACTAGTTAACAAGTCACTTACTATATCCTTCTTTGGCTATCAGGCTCATGAGCTGGCCCACAGTGACAGATTCAATCAGCAACCTACTACCCTGTTTCCCTGAAAATAAGACCTAACCTGAAAATAAGCCCTAATATGATTTTTCAGGATGCTCGTAATATAAGCCCTACCCTAAAAATAAGCCCCACTTAAGTGAAAGCCCGCTCCCCACCATTGTACAGCAAGCAGAAGAAGTTGACATGACTGTATTTGAATAAATATAGAATGTTGTACATGAAAAAAATAAAACATCCCTGAAAATAAGTCCTAATGCATTTTTGGAGCAAAAATTAATATACAACCCTGCTTATTTGGGTGGAAACACGGTAAGTAGCAGTAATTCATTGCTTCAGTTTATCCCACTGTAGTTAGGTCCGCATAACTAATTCAAAAAAAATTCTGGCAGGACAATGTTCAAATTTTTAAAAAAATTGCTTACTGAATAATGCAAGCACCAGCTGTATCATTCACTGACAAATATTTCTTTACTATTTCCAGTGGCCTTGTTCCTTTGCACAATGCTTGTTCTTATGGACACTATGAAGTGGCTGAACTACTTGTTAAACATGGTGCAGTTGTCAATGTGGCTGATTTGTGGAAGTTTACTCCTTTACATGAAGCTGCTGCAAAAGGAAAATACGAAATTTGTAAGCTTCTGCTGCAGGTATGTCACTTGGAAAGCAGTGGCATGTATCAGTGTTTTCTTTACTTTTTTCCCCACTTGCAATATTTTAAAATGTCTGAAATCCTGTTTATAGCAGAAGCCAGATTTTAATTATCCATCCATTCCTTTCTGGTAAACAGAGTGGCAGTACTGTGATTCTTGGGGGCACTCACATACCCAACTATCATGGCAGGGATGCTTTGTTTACCAGGGAGGAATGGACAGAGAGTTAGGATTAGGCTTACACTAATAACAGGATTTCAGACAGTGTATGGTAAGCCACATAAGAGAAATTCAAGTGTTTGTCCAACTAGAGTAGATGTACTGAAGGAGCGAGATTTGTAACATCAATACTGATATGAATTCTGTTGATTTAATAGCCAGAATCCTTTTGAATACTTATGCTTAATTTAATGATTGTTACACAAGTGATAGTTGTAATTGCACCAAGGCAGACACACTCTTCACAAAGCATAGATGCATTGTGTAATCAGTTACAGTATGACAGGAACCACGTGACTTGCACAATAGAATTGCTTAGTCTGTGTTGTTTGAGCATAACACCTGACAAATTTATTTAAGCGTGAGATTGTTTTCACATAATGTAAACAGGATTCTGGCCAATCAGTCTACTGGAGTTGAGACTGTAGCTGAATTTAGATTTTAGGATTAATCTTTGATACCAGAAACCTATTGGTATTTGCTTAAGATTTATAGAACTTGCTGCAGCAAATTATGGCTGATGAGCTGTTAGGGTGTTTCTTGGTTGCATGCATGGCCATGTGTTCAACTGTGCAGCCAAAATGTACTTGGCGTTCCCTCAATTAGGCATAGCTAACTTCACCAGTAGCTGATATAATAATAATCATTACATTGTCAATCATACACATACTACATGTGTTTCTAGATGTATCCTTATGAAATGTTGTAAACCAAAAACCATTAGGTCAATAACAATATGTTAGGTGTAATTTCTACATGTGTTTTTATGAATTATGAAAATGTGTACATTTCTTTCTGGTTTCTTGTTAATCTAGCATGGAGCTGACCCAACAAAGAAGAACAGAGATGGGAATACCCCATTAGATCTCGTTAAAGATGGTGACACTGATATTCAAGATCTCCTTAGAGGAGATGCAGCTTTGCTTGATGCTGCAAAGAAGGGCTGTTTGGCTCGTGTGAAGAAATTGTGTTCCCCTGATAATGTAAATTGTCGTGATACACAAGGCCGACATTCCACTCCATTACACTTAGCAGGTTAGTGTTTTAAAATGTCAGCGGCAATTGTCATGGAGTTGTCCTGATGTACAGCTACAGTTTCTGTTGAGTTTTTGTAAACTATAGTATTCTTGTTAAATCATTACTAGGTTATCAACTTCTTGCAGTGTTGATGAAGTCCTGTCTAAATAGTTCTAACAGCAATAAATAGCACCTGTCTAATTGTACAAGTCTGTTTTCTGGTGTATTAGAGCCTTGTACACTTGATAAAAATGCCTCATGGAGTAATGTGAAGCTGACTTGCATTGAGGCAGAACACTGGTCCATCTAGTCTAGTATGGTCTACTCTAATAGGTTGCAGCTTCTCAGAGTATTTAACAGAAGTATTTCCTGCCTCTGCTTACTTGAGGCATCTCTTCTGGCAAGTGAAAGGGTTGATCCTAGAAATTTCTGTATACAAGCATGTGCTCTGCCACTGAACAATCCCAATTAGTTACAATTGTCTGCATGCATTAATTTTGGGGAACTCCTCAGTTTAGAAAAACTCAGATGTTCATGGTCCGTAAAAGCTGGAAAGAAATTTCGTAGCAGCTTTTGTAGTGATTATTTTTCAGATGCCTCATAATAATCCATTTAAAATATTTATTCTTGCTATATTCTAGCTGGATACAACAACCTGGAAGTTGCTGAATACCTGTTACAGCATGGAGCTGATGTAAATGCACAGGACAAAGGAGGTCTGATTCCCCTACACAATGCAGCATCGTATGGGGTAAGTCACAAAGCCTCTTTTTCTTGGTGTAATACAACTTTTGAAATAGAAGTTCCATGTCGTGGACATGGCTTCCCAACACTGGAGTGTTAAGTACATGAAACTCTCATTGCAGTCATTTTAATAGATCTGTTTAGGAAGAGAAATGGGCCTTCTGCTGCCAGGTTCCTCTTGTTTTGTTCACAGTCGGGAGAGATGAGCAATCGAACAGGCCACAAATATCTATCTAAATGCAGGATTGGATCTGTACTTTTCCCCACGGTGAGCATAGAAGTGTATGAATCCCACTCCAAATTTCTCCAAAGTAAGGAGAAATATAACACAAACATGGCATGTGATCCCTTATAATGTTTATGAAAATAGCATCTTTTTTTCAGAGCTTGGTTTCGAATTAAAAAAATAGTAATATGTCAATCTGCATGTTTAATTTTGGCAAGTCCTTAAAGAAAGGACTTGCTTTTTAAAATTTTGATCAATTACTCTTGTCTTGCTTTTCCTAAATATAGTCCTCAAGTTACTGATTATATATGAGGGTTTGTAAGCAGACCAGTTTTGTTGTCTCTAATATCTTTTGTGGCCATCCAAAAGAAAAGAAAGTTTGTCTCATGGTATCTGTTGAACTTATTGATACAGTAAAACTACTGGATAGCTCAGTGGCTTAGGTCTCTGGTTGTGGAGCCAGAAGTTAGGAGTTCAGTTCCCCACTGTGCCTCTTTGAGAGGTACAGTGGTGCCTCGCACAACGGGCGCCTCGTAGAGCGATGAATTCGCTCTACAAGGCCGTTTTTGCGATCGCAAATGTGATCGCAAAACGGTGCCCGTATAGGCGGAAATCGCAGAACAAAGGTCGGTAAGCTGCTCGCTTACCGACCTTCGCTTTG